TCAGCTGTGTTACAGTGATGCCCACGCTCACAGCCTACTCACCTTTGCTTCCTCTTGCACAAGCCCTTCTGGGGATGCCGGGGCAGTGTCCGCTTGTGGAGTTTCAGCTTTGCCTGTTTTTTCTGGAACGACCTCTCCAAGGAAGGGTGAGCCAAGAATAGGGACATACGTGTTTGTACTCGCTGAGAGAAACTGCATAAAGCTGACCCCACTTCCTCCCTCTGCCTCCTTTCCAGCATTTTTTGGTCTCCATTTCCAAGGTTTAAGAAAGGGTCCTTTTCTCTCTCAGATTCCCGATTATCAAGTTAAGCACAGGTGGCTTCCAGTTCCTCTCTTCTGCTGGCACGCACGTCCAGGCTGGCCCTGTGGCCTGTTGACCTTGCTCTGAGTGAGCCTGCTCAGCTCGGCTGGAGGTGGGACAGAGCAAGATGGGCAAGGATGCCCTTAGCTGCCTGGAGGCAGGAATGAGACTGACTTGTGAGGTTTTGTAGAGGAAGGCAGGGATAAGAATGTGGTAACACTCCCAGGAAGGGGAAACCTGAAAGGAACAAGTTACGTGTGACCTGGGGAGCAGCCTGGTTGCACTGACTCCTGCTCCTTTGAGTCCCTACCCAGGGTCTCCCCGGGGTTGTCTAATTGTGTCACGATAATGACTGAAAGCACTCTGAGAGCTGGACCCTTGTCTCATCAGGCTGGCCCGTGCCTGTCCGCCCTGCCCTGCCCAGGACACAGCAGAAGGCTGCAACGAAGGCCACAGCTGACCAGGAGTTGAAAGGGTAGAGGGAAGAGCCTATGGAGAGGTGGGGCTGGAGGGCAGACGAGGGTGGGCTCAGGGGCAAGGAGGAACAGTGGCAGGAGGGGAGGCCTGAGGGCACAGGCGGAAGGCTCCAGGGAGGAGGGGCTCTGTGGCTCAGTGGGCCAACTTAGGGGGGTGAGGACCAGGGACAAGGTTGGATGGGGACAGGCGGTGGCAAAGCGGCCCTTGCCCAGGGGAGGCCAAGGAGCTGAAGGGAACTCGCTCAACATCTCAGAGACCATGCCAAGGCCTTCGGGGGCCGTGGTGGGTAGCAGCCCGGATGAGGAAGGAAAAGGGACAGGTTTGGGTCCAACCGTCTCCCCTTGATTTGTCTACTGGGTTGGGGACCCTCATTCCCTGTGCCTAAATCCCCACCCTACTGTCACTCACATGTGGGCCTTCAGGGCCCCTCCTCAGTGACTTGTCCCGAAAGCTGGAATCTGAGATCCCTTGCTTCTATCAACTTCCTGTTTCATGTTGGCCAGAGCTCACATCAATGGGGACAAATGCTCCGCAGTGTGCTTCATTTTGGCGACCCTAACCATTGGGCAGTTGCTCTAGAAAGGGGAGTCCCATTTCAGGTGTGACATGCATCTCATAGTTGCACTGTGGGTTCCCTTCTGTGAGGAGGCCAGGCCTGGGCCGGGCTCCTCGGCATTCACACCCTTTCTCTGTGGCCACTATGCTCCATTCCTTAAGCCATCCGTCAGTCTCTTACCCTCTCTGCTGGCAGAGGCAGGAAGTTCCCCGTGGTGGGAGCAGCTGCCAAAGGACCTGGGAAGGGGAGGGGCCTCAGGGCCCGGGGCAGCTCCTAGCTTAGATGTAAGGACGCAAGGGTCAGAACAGGACTCGGAGACTGGAAGATACAAACCCTCCCCCTACCCTTAGCTGGAGAAAGACGCCCCCCTTTGCACAGTCACATCACCTCTCTGAGCATGCTTAGCTATTTGCTGATAGCTATTTGCCTGGGCTCTTTCTGGGGCTACCTATAAATTTGGTAGCACTGGTTGCCTTGCCTCTGAGTTGGGGGATGGGTATTCAAAGGCAGGGATGGAAGGGGACTTTTCATGGTACAGCCTCCTTTACCTTTTGGATTCTGAGCCACATGAATATGTGACCTTTAAAAAATGTAAGTTAAAAATGCAAATAAAAAAAAATCTCTCCATTCCTCCCTGGGCTTCTTTGGGAGATTAACCATCTTCTGGGGACTAGTCCAGCTGGGGAGGGGAGGGACTGCATGCATCTCAGCCAGCCCCGCAGGGTCCCAACAGGGCTTCCCTCAGGCAAGCAGGCACCTCCTTCACAGCTCAGGTACAGTCTTCCTTCCTCTGTGCCCGCTGCTGGTGTCATGGTTCCCAAGCCAGTGGTGACACCACAGTAGTCCTGCTCTAGCCCCACCTCCCTTCCCACAGGCCCCCAGTCTGTTGACTCTCGACACCTACCATCTCTTCTTAGCCCACACCTCCCCTACCACCGCATCCTGGATGTGATATACTGGCTCTTCTGATGTCTGCGTCGCTTCCTGGTCTATCCTCCCCAAACCTCAGTCCCAATGAGCTTCCTAAAGGACAGATCTTACCACACTACCCTCCCCCTTTAATTCTCCTGTAGCTGACAGTGTCGGTGCTCTGCCCACATCCCCCTGCAAGCCCTTTTACATTTTTGTGCATGGCGCCCCCTTCAGGGTGCTTTCAAGGTTGACACCTTCGGTTCTTGGATGGCTGTCCTTGGGCTCCCTGGAGCTGCTTCATCGCTGGGCACAGCATGATGGGCGGCTGCCCCAGGCTGGGGCTGCCCTGAGGCCTCACGCTGCAGAGTTGTTTGGGGGCCTAGCTTGCTTATCTGTCCCCACCCCCAACCCACCCACTGGCCTCCTCTGGGAGTACTTCCTTAATTGTATGTCACTCAGCATCTAAGATGAACGCCTCCGTGGAAACCTACTGACCAGGACTTAAATTTCAATCACCTGTCTTTACTCATCTTCCTGGAAATCGATTCCGTATCACATCTCCATTTAAGCCATACCAAAGTTCTACCTGTTCTGTTTCGCCACATTTTTATATCTTAGTACCTGCCTTTTTTAATTAAAATAAAAAATGAAACCTCTTCTCTCAACTCATGTTTTACATCTCTGGCCAGTATCATTTCCTTCAGTTCTCTAATGGAGCTAGTTGTCTCCTCCTGTAGTCTCAGGATACTCTGTGTAAACTTTATTATAAGACTCACCTTGCCAAATTTAACTAGTTTTCTCTGGTATCTAGCATGGTGCTGGGCATAGAATAGGCATTAAATAAACGGGTTGTGTTTTGTTTTGTTTTTTTTTTCAATGAATATCGATCCCTGACATGTCCTGAGTCTCCACTATTGGGCTTCTCATTCTCGAATCTCTCCTACGTCCAATCAAAATTCACTGTCTCAGAGCTCTGTACTCTTTATTGCTTATGTTGCCAAGATTAATTCAGTCTTGTTGGAGGAAAGCAGGATGGTGGACTATAAAGAACACTGTTCCTTCTGGTATCTTGGGATACCAGAAACTCAAGGTCTAACTGCATGTGGTTTGGAGTCTTGGAAGACCAGTTTGCTCACTTCTTTCACTAAGTGGAAAGTGTAGATGACTCCTGAGATATTCCAGGGCTGAAATGAATGTTGTTTGTAGGCTGGGGTCTGGTCTGTCATATCCTCTGATCTCCCAAGACCAAGAATGGTGCCCAGTGCAGAGGATGCTCTTAAATGTTTGTCGAGAGAAGGATTTGGCTATTTCAGTAGCTATGTATTTCCTGGTGCTTATATAAAGTTATTTCATGTAATTATTTTATTCCATGTAATCCCCAGAGTGGTAGTTAGGATTTGTATGCACATTTGGATGACTTTAAAGCACATGCTCTTCCCATAATACCTTGTGGCCTTCACACAAGATTTGTTCTATTGATGGCTTTTAATGGTGGCTGTAGAAAGCTGTGGGAGATCCTGAGACGCTTATTTTTCTTATTATAGCATACAGACAACTGCTTCTGCCCCTCACCAACCTCAGGAGACAGCAGGAATTTATGGTAGTTAGTGGAAGGGGTGAGAGCGTGGTGAGGAAATCTTATTACTGTGATCCGAATGGGTTGCCCGGGCAAATGGTGGGGTTTAGGTATACAGTTCTAGTCATGTGCTGATAAGCCAGCTCCAGCATGTGCTTGCTCTCTCTCTTTCTCTCTCTCAAATCCTGCCCCCACCTCACCCCCCCCCCCCCCCGAAAAAACAACCACCCTGTTTGGTAGCTCTTATTGATTGCTTTGGTATGTACGCTCTTACCATGGCTGACTTCAAGCAACTACCGTGAAGTCACTGACTGCAGACTTCGCAGAACTGTGCATGGTTGGCTCTCACAAGCCAGTGGGCTGCCCCAGCATGCTGAAGGAACAGTGGGGCTGTCCCCAGAAAGCCACAGGAAGATTGCAGCTGCTGAAGGCACTCCGGGCAGCCTTGGGAAGCCTCCCCTCCTGCCTTGCCTTTTTTGAAGACTGGAGATGGTCTCAGGCCTCTGACTTACAGCAGCCCTCCCACTACTGCAATGGCCATTGAGGCTGCTGGCTGGAAGGCTCTCCCAGAGCGGCCCTCGGCTCCTCTTGGAGCACACCCTCTGCTGCCTTGCCTCAGGCTGGGACAGCCCCCGGAGCAGGCAAGGCTGCCCTAAAGGGTTCTTCACAAAGTAATTCAGGTGGTATCATCCCGAGAGGAAGGATGAGAGTGTGTTAGTACCATCACTTATACCTATGCCCCTCGCTTGAATTTGGGCTGTCCTTTCCTCCCAAATTCCAGGAAATCATCAATACCGAGGACAGCGCCCTCACTGGATCAGGCCCAGCCAGAAGGCAGCAAGCATCCCTGAAGAGATGGTGAAGTGAAGGGGCAGGAAAACAGCGTGAGACCAAGAGGGGCCTGCTTCTGGTTGTGGAGGGGCGCCGAGCCCCAGCCGGGGTATGAGAAACGGGCCTTCCTGCCCAAGGGCAAGTGCCCCTGAGATGGACCGTTCCCCAGGGGGGAGCAGGAACAGCTCTGGAGGAAAGGGACCTTGTCCCAGTGATGGAGCTCCTGGGGAGCCCACATATTTTGTGTATCCTCGAGTCTTTCTCTCAAGTATTTAACCCTCGGCCCAGTACAGAATCAGCACTCAAAAAATGTGTTGAAGGAGAAATGAGACCTAATTAGTACCCAGATCATTTTTCAATACAAAGGCTAAAAGTAAAATGTAGGAGCAAGGAAAACCAAGGTACAAAGAAGGACCAACAGGGCCCCAAGGCTCAGCAAACACACACAGCAGAGGTCTTCTCTTTGTAGGCATGTGGTACATGGGGAAGGCTGCTTTATTCTACTGAGATAGGGCCAGCCATCCAATCCCAATGAAAAGATAAGCAGAGCAGTGACCTCAGGGCAGGAGGATTAGAACTTGCTTGCATACAGCATCAAAATCCACTTGGGCACACGGAGGAAGCCAGGCAAGTAGGAGACCAGCCAGTCCCGGCGAAAGGTATAGGAGAGAATCTGACTCAAAGACAAATAGTCCTGAACAGGGCGGCCTGAGGACAACAGGAAGTAAAAGAAGGATTAGACCCTCATTTCTCACTCCTTGGAAACCTCCACCTGAGCTGAAGAGACTGAGCAGGATGTGAGGGAGGAAAGAACAGGAAGAGAGTGAGGGAGGAGTGAGCAGGAAACAGAAGAGAGGTCCAGGCTGGCTGGGGGACTAGAGCTCTTACCATCCACATCCTGGAGGTTGTAGCGCCGAGCAAGGTCACAAGATGGCAGCACCTTCCCACTCAGGCTCAGGATATTGGGGTCTGTGGGCACACATGCAGCCGAGATGGCATGGGAGTGGTCCAGGGTGACAAGATTTGGGCCCAATGGGACAGGGCACCACTGAGACAGGCTTAGGAGCCCATAATTGTTTCTGTCTGTTCCTAGGGAGGTTACTGGGCCTCTGGCTTCTGGCCAGACATCCTAGGAGCTAGTTCTTGAAGCTCCCAGTCTTCAAAATGGGAATCCTGACCCTTTGGGTCTCCAGAAGCCAGAGAAGAGAAGGGTTTATTCCTCAACTACCTCCTGAGCCAAGACCCAGAACAGGCTGCCATCACCCTGCAGATCCTCTAGGCCTTTTCTTGTTACCTGCTGCTCTTCATCTCTTTACCTGTTGCCAAAGCCACCACACATTTGCCACTCATTTCTGGGGTTTCCCCCGATGGAAAATAAGATTTGAGCTGAAACATAGGAGCAACAAAGTGAAGGGTTAATTTTCCAGAGCACTGCCCAAGTGTCTTCCCTGCTTTCAGCTTCGGTTCCAGAACAGAGGCCCTCATCCCCCCACCTGTAAGACTCAGCATCTTCGAAGGTGCCACGGCCACTCCTCCCCACCTTCGTGTGAGTCTTGTACCCCAGCAGCAGGACCCACTGTCTTTCCTAAGTGGAAGGATCTGGGGAAGCCAACTGTGTTGACCTTCTAGGTTAGTGCAGTATAGGGGTCAAGACCATGAGCTGACCTTCAGCAAGTTTCTTACATCTCTGGGTTTCAGTTTCACTATAAAAAGGAGATACCATCTCCTTACAGGATTAAAGGACATAATATGTGCACAGTGCTCAGCCATGTAATTTACTGCCATGGTAAAATCCCCAGCATTTACTCCTTGCTGTTGTTACTGTCTTGATGTTAAGGAGGGAGAGGCTGATTCCCCTGCACACTCTGCTGTCCTCGGCTTCCCCTCGCCAACCTGCTTAAACAGGGGATTCTCAGCATTGTCACTCCTCTGCACATGCTCCTTCAGCAGTTCTGTCTGCACCAACCCTGGCCACAGAGACACATAGCTGACCCCATGGCGCCGCAGCTCCATGGCACAGTCAGCAGCCAGCCTGTCACACTGTAGACGAACAAAAGGCGGAGTGAGAGCCAGGGCACCTGGCCATGCCACATTCCTCCCCTGCCCTCCCTGCTTCTGCTCTGAGGATGTCCCAGCCCCGTGCCCTTCCCAGGTGCTCTGGGTCAGCTGTCTGCCTTTCCCAGTGCACTGCTGACTCTGGCCAGCAGAGAGGAGCCCAGGTGAAGGAACTGTTCATGGAGGGGCAGAGGGAGAGCTTGACGGCCAGCTGGTCTTACCACTCTGACCACTGGGGATTTACCTCCCAAGCTAAATGGGTACCGCCACTGTCCTATACCTCCCCAAACCCTGTGCCACTGGGCCCTTACCGCAGCTTTGCCCACGCCATAGGGGACATTGAAGATATACTTCAGACCCCCAATGGAGGAGATGACCACAATGAGTCCCCGGCCAGCTGGTACCATCAGTCGTGCCCCATACACTGAGCACAAGTAGTGGCCTCTAGAAGGTGGGGAAAGGAAAGAATGGGCCCTGTTCAGTGCTGGCTTGGGCGCAGGAGCCTGGGCAGCTTCCTCTGCCTTCTCGTGGCTGTAGTCGGCCAGGAGAAGGCGGCACAGGTGGCTGCAGACCTGGGGGATCCAGGGCTTGAGGCCACCTTCTGAGAGAACACTGGTAAAATGAACCACTGAAGGATGAGAAATAGCACTCTCTAGAAGGTGTAATGGAGTAACAAACCTAAAATACAGGGGGAAAAGCATGTAAGGTCTATGTGGAAAAACGATAAAATCTGTCTTATTAAAAAAAAAGTACAGGCATAATTTATTCAGAAGAATCAACATGTAAAACATCAATTCTACACAGATTCGGTCAGTTTGAGTTATATCCCAATAATATTTTCAGAGGAACTAACAAAATAATCTGAAGCTCAAAGAGAATAAACACGGAATAGTCAGGGAAACTCTGAGAAAGGAAGAGTAATATCTTATGGGGGGGGCACATGCGCCCCCGATCCTGCCACTCCATATTAACATGTACGGTGACATAATGGTTAAAATAGAATGCAGTACTAGCATCACAATATACAGAGAGTCAATGAAACAAAATAGTCCATAATTAGATCCAGTGTAAGTGAGAATTCAATGAATTATAAGGGGAACATTTCAAATCAACAGGGAAAGAGGGATCATTCAGTAAATGAATTTGGGACAATAGGCCACTTATTAGGTGGGTGGGACTGGCTGTCTGCCTCATTTATGATTTAAGTGCATTCCAAAAGTATAAATTATTTGAATATTTAAAAATGAATGCACTAAAGGAGAGCATGACAACGTATTCATAAACTTGAGGTGGGGAACGCTTGTCTTAGCAGCATACCAAGATAGGAACTATAAAAGATTGACTATTTGACTTCTTAAAAGTAAGACATATATAAAAATGTACAAATACATACATCTTCATGTTTATGTATATCGGGAGAGCTAGGGAGAGCATGTATGCAAAAAATGAGTAATAAATTGGGAAAAATACTTGTAAACATTTATCAGAAGAACCTATTCCAAAAAGATCCCTTACAAATTGATGTAAATATAGCCCTGACCCTGGCAGTTCAGCTGATTGGAGCACTGTCCCGTACACCAGAAGGTTTCAGATTCGACCCCTGGTCAGGGTGCCTACAGGAGGCAACTGATTGATGTTTCTCTCTCACATTGACTTTTTTTCCCTCTCTCTTCCCCTACCTTCCTCTCTCTCTATAAAAAAATTAAAAAACATATCCTTGCATGAGGATTGAAAAAGACCAAATTGATATAAATAAATAACACAAATAGCTCACAAAAGAATAAAGAGCCAATAAATAAATGAATAAAAAGCTCAACTTCACAAATAATAAAAAGTATGAATTAAAACCACCTTTGGATATCTTTGGCCTTTGGCAAAGGTGGCCTGACTGAGTGGTCTGATTGTTTAGCAGAGTTGAAGACATGGAAAAGATATTCTCCTTTATTGTCACAAGTTTATAAGTTGGTGCGGTCTTTTTGGAGGACAGTTTTATAATGTTTATTAGATCTTTAAGAAGTACATTTTTTCCCCCCAAGAATTCCACTATTGCAATAGATAAAGGGTTAGATAAATTATGGTACCTACTCCAGGTCAGATATTTAAAAGAATGGTAGAATACTAAACTATCAACAGTAGCTATATCTCAGTCAAGGGGAAAACTGGGTGGTGATGAGAGAGTAAGATCATACTGATACTCATATTTTTCCATAATTAAAAAAATAATACACATGAACTTGGTAACTGGAAAAAAATGTCTTCTGCATAGGAAACAAGAACCTCCGAGTGAAAACAAGTACAGGAAGCTATGGTTTCTAAAGGAAGCCCAGCCTAAGGCAGTGCAGAGCAAAGGCACAGTATTTGTTCATATCTGTGGGGGAGGCAGTGTTGATGGGCTTCCAAGAAGAAGTGACCTTAACCTAAGAATTCATCAGGGCTGAGACTTTGTCCTGTAGGCTGAAAACCCTGACCTGCAACAGATGAGTGTGAAAGGTCCCTCCCTTTGGAGGACTAACGATGTGGCATTGCCTATTTCCAGCTGTTTGGATTTTCTTTTCTTGCCTCTTGGCTACCATCCCTCTCTGTCCTCATAACCTTTTTTCTACTCTGGCAATCACAATTGGACTCTCATTCTACTCTCTTGGGATTGCCACTAGAAGCCACAGGTGTTTTTAAACTCTTTAATCTTAGATTTGCAGATAATATCTTAGTTACAGTCACAGGTGGCTGATCATATTCAGGGAGTGTGGTTTCTCAGAGTACCATAGTTCCAAAAATAATAAACACAGACGTGACTAACGTATATCATGCTGAGCGAACGTTAAATGCTGTGTTTCATATCACGGCTGTACCACCTGTGCACGTAAGCCTGGGACACCCCTGCCCTCCCAGCTCTGACCTGGGAGTGCCCGTGCCTGCAGGTCCAGAGTGAGGCTCTGGAGGCTAAGATGGCTGGCACTCAGTCTTTGTTATTGTCCTTCTCCTGATCTACAACAAAACAATTTCACCGGGGGGAGAGGGGTTTAAGGGAACTAAATGGTAATGGAAAAAAAAAATACAATAAAGATTAAATTAAAAAAAAAATGAACCCAACCATGTCTTCCTCTAACTATTTTTAGACTGTGGGTGGTGTGCATTATTGAGGTAAGGAGGCCCCCTTTGGGTCATTCATTTGGATGGGCAGAGAGTAAGGCAGAAGAGAGGTGAAGGGCAAGGTCAGATGAAAATTACTGACAGAAACAAGACAAAAGTTGACAATCCCAGGTACAGATTCACGTGGATAGAACTTCTTCATAGTTGAGTGGAACAAATGGGACAAATGGGAGAAAAAGAGATGGGACATCAGAGGGAAAAGGAAAGGATCTGAGCCCTTGGCCTGGCTAAGTGAGTGAGAGGAGCCCAGGCCCTTGCAGCGGGGCAATGGAAACACCCACCTGAGTCCTACATTATTGATATCATCCCAAATGGAGGCAGGGCTTTCCCAGAATGCCTTCTTATTGTTCAGGATTGTCTGGAAAGCAAAGAGAGAGTGATGAACTGGATGGTCTGAAGGCAGGAAGGTATGAGGGGCTGGATCACGGAAGGGACAACGAATGGGGATAAGGACTCGGGTCAGTAGGTGGTTAGGAGTGTGGGGCTGGGATCAAAGTTCAGAGTACCTGGACGCCAGCATAGGCGTTGTTGACCAGCACATCCAAACGCCCATGCTGTTCTCGATCCACCTGCTCAAACAGGCTTCGCACATCACTCTCCTTGCTTGAATCACACACCACAGGCACACACCGGCCCCCACGGGATTGCGCCTGGAGAGAGACAGACAGGATATGAGCTCACAGTCGCTCATGAGAGTAGATTTAACCCAGTTTCCCTTAATTCCCAGCTTGGGAGCTGAGAAGGCCATCACAGGAACCAAAGCCAGCGGCCGAGGGAACATGATTGGCAATATCACCCTCTGATGTGTATGTGAGGAATTTCAGGAGTGTGAGATCCTCTCTTTATAGAGCAAGGTGGATTGGGATCTCAGGTGTAAAAAACACAAACATTCACCGAGCCCTACCACATGCCAGGCATTGTACTCTGCATGTGGAGGAAATGAGACAACTAGGGCATGGAGGCTGTTCTGGAGCAATGAGTATCTATCTTTTTCCTTGTCCTTGGCCACTTTCATCTCACGTGCCCTTAGCTCCCACCCTTCACGACTCATGTGGAACTCCTACTCTATCCCAGCCCATCACGATAGCCACACTCTTTCACCGTTGTCCCTCTGCTTGTGAAGTTCCCTTAGCTGGTATGGTGGTCTTAGCTTCTTTGACATAACTTTTACCTTTCAAGACTCAGTTCCTGAACCACTTCCTCCAGAATGCTTTCCCCAACTACCCTCCCATGTCATATCAAAACTCACCCTGCGATGCCGGAGCATTCTGTGCACGTTGGCCTCTTATCACTTACCAAATACATTGAAGTGAACCATTTCTGCCTCTAGCTAGACTCTAGCTTTTAAGAGTAGAAGTTACACCTTATTAACCCCAGTGCTTCACCCAGTGAATTAAGTGTACCCAAGTATTTATGTAACTGAAAACCAGTAGAAAAGTCAAGTAAAAGTGTACAGCTCAATAAAGTCTTGTTGAAAATAGAGAAAAACAGAGGTCTATAACTCTAGTTGCAATTCCAAAATTCCTGGAGCTCTCAAACAGAACGTTTTCTCATAAAACTCACTTGGTGGCAAATGTGACCTGAAGTTATTTATGGGGTTCATTTATCCCACTTGAGAAAATACTCAGGTTTTATTGAGGAGTATTATGGTTTCTGGAAAGGGCTTGGGAGGAGTGAATAATAGGAAGGGATCCTGCAGGTGATTTCTGCCCCGTGTTCTCAGAGGAAGCACTCACATCCTGAGCAGCAGCCTGTAACGTATCCAGATGTCTGCCAGTGATGTAAACTGTGGCACCTGCTTGGCAGAGCTGCAAGGCGATGCCGCGCCCAATACCCCTGGAAGCACCAGTCACCACGCACACTTGGCCCTTCATGGGAGCTGCCATGAATAACTCACAAGCAAAGGGGTCAGATCTGCGGAAGCAAAGATTTGCTCTGAGGAGAGCCTGCTGCAGATTGTGTATGTGGAGGGGGACCCCCGACAGTGGTAGGAGTTGGGATCCTGTGAGGCGAGAGAAGTTTCAGAGGGGGACAACTAGGTGTAGGTCCCAGGGCAAGGCAGGCCGTCCGCTTTGGGATGCCCAGAAATGGAAAAAGGGGTTGGGTGGGACTGTCCAGGGCGGGACACCTACCAGAACTCCGAGTGAGGCTGGCTGGATGAGAGATTCTGGTGCGGCACTCCCTCGTGACGCGTCCACGCATAGGGCTACCTGGAAATCTGGCCCCTGGCTTGGCCCGGTCAGGTCGAGCCCAGAGGCTCGACTTCTGGGCTGGGTTGTGAACCAAGGTCCACGGACCCTGAACCCTAAGTGGGAGGAGCTCGCGTTCCTTACCTGCCACCTGTGCCTGGATTCCTGGCCCCACCAGGCTCGCAGATTGCTCCGAATCGCGAGCTTTGATCCTGGCCGCGGGGAAGAGACCAGATGACTACCTCTGAGTCAGAGTACAGGATTGGGGTGCAAGTCGATGTTTGGGTGGGGATTTTTGTAGTCCACGCGGAGGGAGGAGTCAGAGAGGTGGCACACGGGAGGCGGGGCGATCTGGGTACCAGTCCTCCCCGGCGCACCGGAAGGTCGTCGCGGGACTATGACGTGAACTCCGCGTCCCGAGCGCGCCGCCGTTTCTAAACTTGCGGAGCTGGCCTGCACCTGGCTGAGTGCTGCCGACGGCAGCTGAGACAGATTTCGGGGGCCGAGACGGAACTAAGCGCGCATGGCACTGGGTCCGCGCTCCCCCCATAAGGCTGGGCGCCGGTTCCCAGCTGGCAGCAAACGAGGGCGCGGGGCCAAAGGGTCAGGGCGTTCCGCCTCAGGCCGCCAGCGACCACTCAGCCTACCTCCGGAGGGGCGCTCGGAGCCGGCTGTAGACTCGCACCCTCACCTGAGCCCCGAAGCGCTGGGGTATTTCCGCCGGGCGCTGACGGCGCTGAAAGAGGCCCCGGAGACCGGGGAAGAACGAGGTAGGGAGGACCTTCCAGTGGGACCAGGAGAGGGACTTGTTGACTATAAAATCCAATACAGGCAAGGAAATTTTCGTGGGTTCTCAGGGCGTGGAGACTTGAGTTTCATTTCCCGTATCCTCTTTCCACACTTCCAGCCCCTTGGTTAAGTGATGGAACATAATCTTATCCTCCTGTCAGTGTCTCTAAAATTTTTCTTTCCTTGTCTTTCTAGAGCTGATGGTGCAAAATGTTTTGAAGGAAGTGGAGGCTCAGGCCCTCGCCTTGGCTACAAACCGGACTGGCAGCGAGATGCTGCAGGAACTGTTGGGGTTCAGTCCCCTGAAACCTCTGTGTCGAGTATTGGCTGTTTTGCGCTCTAACTTGCGCTTTGTGGCCTGTCATCGATGCGGGGTCCATGTGTTGCAAAGTGCTCTGCTGCAGCTGCCTCGATTATTGGGGAGCCCTGCGGAGGAAGAGGAGGTGGTGGAGGAGGATGGGAAGGATGATCCCTTGGACACCCTGGAGGAGCTGGTCCTGGGACTAGCCTCTGAGGTGTGTGATGATTTTCTTTTCTACTGTGGAGACACACATGGCAGCTTCGTGGTCAGAACTCTACTGCAAGTGTTAGGAGGGACTCTTCTGGAGTCTGAGAGAGCCAGACCCCGTGGCTCCCAGTCACCTGGTAAGTATTACAAGAGAGGGAAATGGACCTAGAGGAAAGGAGAGTTTGGGAAGTCCAGAAGGAGAGAGTAAGCAGAAGAAAGATTCTTTATGACCTTGAAGAATTAGCCTAGAAACGAGGACGGGGCTTAGCAGGCCAAATATTAGTGTACACAGAGGCCCTGAGGTAAGGTGTGTTTAGGGAAAGCTAAACATGACTCTGTACATTTGTATTTATGCACATACTGGATTAAAGCAAAAGGTCAGGGAATAATACCCTTACTACATACAACCCACTCTGATATTTTCTTTCCTTTTTAAAATTCTGTTATATTAAAAAGGTGCTGGTTGAGACCCACTAAGTTGAATGCATGATGCACTCATAGGCAGTGACCTAACTTTTAAAAAACTCTTGGAAATAAGGTTAGAGAATTAGATAAGGCCTGGTTTGGGAACATCTAGATTTCCTGGCTGGGGAGTTAGGACTATCATCATGGGCCATGGGGGAACTGGTGGCAGTTTCTTAGGAAAATTAAAACAAACGTAGTCTCAATTTAGTCATCTAGATGAGAAGAGATACTCAGTTGTGTTTTGCATCTCTAAGCTTGTCCATCTACGGCAGTGATTTTCAGCTGGTGTGCTGTGACACACCAGTGTGCCACAAGACTTTTTCAAACATGTAGTACCTGACTATTTAGTCGGGGCACTGGTCTCTTTTCCCTTAGATTGTCAAATTTAAAAATGCTAACAGCCAACACAACAATAGCTGTCCTGTGTGAAGGAATCAAAGTTATACCTATTTTTTGTCACACTGGGAAGAAATGTATTTTTTGGTGTGCTGCAGAATTTTAGTAATTAGTTTGTGTGCCATGGGATGAAAAAGGTTGAAAATCTGTGGAATTCTTCCTGGATGGTGGTTTGTGATCTCACCAGTGCACACATTTTTGATCTTCCTTCAGAAGCACGAAGGGCCCCAACTCGGGAATGTAAACCAGCTGATTTCGAGGTTCCTGAATCCTTCTTGAATTGTCTTCAGAGTCTGAGCTCCTGCTTTCTGAAGGACATTGCTGGTAAGGAGAGAAATAGGAGGAGGGCCTAGGATCTACTTTTCTGGAGGTGATTATCTTCAAACAAGGCCCTTGTTTAGATCAGTCTTCTTTTCAAATCTGACCTGGTTTGGTGTTGCAAAGATTCTCTATAGATCCTTTGTCCATGATCTCTTCTACCTTGTTGTTTGAGGTTGTACAAGTCGTCTGGATTTTGGGAAAGTTGCTTTTATTTTTTGTTGCTCTTTTTCCACAGTGTTTATCACTGACAAGATCTCCAGCTTCTGCTTTCAAGTGGCCTTACAGATCTTACACCGCAAACTGCCCCAGTTTTGTGCCCACCTGTGTACTGCTGTCATTGACTATCTGAGTAACCGCAATTCTTCAGCAGATGGCAGGTATGGTCAGGGCCTCAGGATTAGCCAAGGATGATGGGGCTGTGAGAAATGAGTGATGTGATGTAGGTATTTTGGATGGAGTGGAGTTAAGACCACCTTCTGCTTGTCTCCAGCCCCCTGCTGCTATTTCTGCGGGATCAGACGAGCTCCAGACTCCTGGAGCAGGTGCTGCTGGTATTGGAGCCCCCAAGGCTCCAGAGCCTTTTTGAGGATCACTTCCAAGGGCAGCTGCAGACCTTGGCTGCACATCCTATTGCCAACTTCCCTTTACAGCGTTTACTAGATGCTATCACCACCTCTGAGCTGGTGAGTTGGGAACTTGCCTGGGTCTCTTTCTGTATACTGTTGTTTTTATTTGTTCTTGTTCCCTGGGCCTTATTTTATGGTGTGCCCCCCTCTGTATCTCTTACCGTGTGCTGGCTATTCCCCTTGAAAAGTTATTCCAGGGAGTTTCCCAGAACTTAGGGTAAAGGTGCCTTCTTCCCCGAAAGGATTTGCTTTGGCTTCACTCAAATGCCGATGTCACCAGGATACTGGCTTAACCCATGTCAGCAGCTTGAGGTTCCATGATCCACCCAGACTGGGTACCTGACTATAAATCCAGATGAGCACTGGGACTGTTGCCATAGCATCTCTTTTCCTTTGCTGTTTACTGCCAGGGCATGCTTCCCTGGGGCGTCATGGGTTGGGAGTTGGGGTGGAAGGACAGATTTGAGTCTAATTCTTTACCCTGAGAGTATGGTCACTTAAAGTCCCTTTCCCATGTGAGGCAGCTCCTCTAAGACACCCCCCTTGTCCTGGACCTTTCTTTTCCAGCCAAACCAAAGTCCTGATATTGGCAATGTTTTTAGGTTTTATCTAGCATTTTTAGTTGTTTTTGGCAGAAAGATTTCTCTGAATAACTTAGCCCCCAGTTACCAGGATGCCAACGATTCTTTATTCCCTCTCTCCCCGTAGCTGTCCCCCGTGTTTGAGGAGCTGAGCCCTGCCCTGGAAGCAGCGCTGGCACAGGGTCACCCAGGGGTAGTCATTGCCCTGGTGGGGGCCTGCCGCAGAGTTGGAACCCACCAAGCCCAGATCCTGCAGCTGTTGTTAGAGGTGAGTGGGGGTTACACACAATCCATTTATGCCATCCCTTCAGATCCTACCTCTTAGGACTTATTGAATCTTTAGTCATTGTATCTGGGGACCCAGGAGCCTCAGTGTCCAGGGAGTTCACAGATAACGGGGGAGAATGAAGCCAAGGCCATCTCGTAGCCCTAGAATGAAAATTCTCTCCCAGAACAAAGAGAGAAGTTTATCTAAGAAACAAATATTTATCGACCCCTTTTAACATGTATAGAGGCTGGGGATACATCAGGGCAGATGAGATTGTATCCTCATGCAGCTTACATTCTTGTGGACTTAGGCATTCTCACTATTCCTGAATGTCTTTTCTTGTCTGCAAAGTCAGGGTTAAAGTTGGTTCTCAGGTTGATTATGTTTTGTCTTCTCACCTAGGCATTCCACTGTGCAGAGCCCTCTTCTCGGCAAGTGGCCTGTGTGCCTCTCTTTGCCACTTTGATGGCTTATGAGGTGTACTATGGACTGGTGGATGAGGAGGGCTCAGTGCCTGCCGAGCACCAGGTAAGGTAGGGGAGAGGCCAAGCTGGTGGCTGACTGGGCGTCAGGCCCAGGGAGGCTTAGGAAGCCTCTCACCGCTGAGGTGAGGGTGGCGAGATCTCTGGCTTCCTCCAAGTGGAGGTAGCAGTTTGGTGGCTGCCTCCTGATTTCCTGTCTCTGTTCTCAGGTTGAAATGGCCACAGCCAGGGCCCTGGGGGAAGTGACAGTCCTTGGATCTCTTCTGCTTCAGCATCTGTTGCACTTCTCCACTCCTGGCCTTCTACTTCAAAGTCTGGGCGCCTTGACAGGACCACAGCTTCTGACTCTGGCCCAAAGCCCTGCTGGCTCCCATGTGCTCGATGCCGTCCTGACCAGCCCTTCTGTGACACGCAAGCAGCGCCGCCGTGTGCTCAAGGCCCTAAAGGTTAGACTTCTGGCTTCTGCTTTGATTACTTGCCATTTTCCATCTAGAAAACATGAGTTTCCCCCAAGACTGGTCCTCAGAGTTGGGGAGGATATGCCTTTCCAGACCCTTTCGACTCAGCCTCTAAACTTCTGAAGCTTCACTCCCTCCTGCCTTCCCCGACCCACTTTCATGGCCGGCCCTGGAGGGACCTATCTTGCTTGTCTCAATGCAGGGACAATACGTGGCTTTGGCTTGCAGTCGCCATGGCAGCCGTGTACTGGATGCCATCTGGGGTGGAGCAACGTTGGGGGCCCGAAAGGAAATTGCTGCTGAGCTGGGTAAGTAGCAGCATGTCTCTCTGACTTTGTCATGCTTTCCCTTTCTTCACTCCAGATGGCTGGGTGGCTGGAGGATGGATTTAGATTCAGCAGAGACTTCAGTTCCAAAGGGTGGTCTTGGCCGTGGTGCTTAGAAGCCTGCTTTCCCCTTCTCCTCTGCTGGTCATGCAGCCCTGTGCTCCCACCCCTCCTCCCCGCTTGTTCTTTGGAGAGTGAGGGGTTAACTCTATCCCAAGGCAGGCCGAGGGTCCAAGGAAAACGGAGGGACCCTCACTCCAAGTAGAGTCTCTTTTGGCACAGGTGGTGAGTACATTCTGATACTGAACATGAATGGTTCCTTTTGCAGGGGAGCGGGATCAGGAGCTGATAAAAGACCCTTTTGGCCACCACGTGGCACGAAACGTGGCCCTGACTACTTTCCTGAAGCGTCGAGAGGCTTGGGAACAGCAGCAGGGAGCGGTGGCCAAGCGGAGGCGGATTTTGAACTCAATCCTTGAAGATTGAGGCGTTGGGGTCTGGGAGTGGGTGTTGATGGCGGAGGAGGAAAGGGAGTGTCTGTCCTGTCCCCTTATTAATTTAAATTGAAGTCATCAAGGTCAAACAATTATATTGGTAAACAATTTTATATTTTTATTGGAAATGTCTTTGCTATTCTTGGAAAGGGTATGAAGAAGTAGAGATCTCAAGATAAAGCCCGAGAGGGCTGTCTTCGCTGACTGGGGAGCTCAGGGAGAGGAGCTGTAAGAACATCTAGAGGTGGCAGCAGTCAGGGTGGTATTGAGATGCCTGGGACAAGCCTGTGGCCTTTCAGGGTAGGGGGGGGGGCTGAAAAGATGGCTGGGAAGGGACAGCATTCTTCAGAAATGGGAATAGGCTAGTGGTGTAAGGCATTACGCTGATGAGGTCAGAGGACAGTGGGGAGACCAGGTGAGTTATCTAGTCTGCAGTGTCTGCAAGTCCCAAGCCTAATGTCACCATGGTGACAGCCGTCTCTGGGAATGAGTCTAGGGGCAGAAGCTCTGAGCCCCTTTTCAGTAGGGGTGAAGGCGACCCTGCTGCTGCCGCTGCCCGGCCCCTTCCAGTACATGGCGAATGGTGGAAGAAATTCCCAGGAACACATGGCCCAGGCCTTGCAGCAGGGTGGAGGTCCATCGGAGGAGCTCCCTGAAGGGCAGAGACAAAAGGCAGTCAGGGGGCCAGGAGGGAGCCGTAGAGCTGGGAGCTGCGGGCTCTCAACAAGGGAGAACTAATGGGTTAGGTGAGTGTCGGAGAAGGAATTACTGCAACTGTAGGGATGGGGAAGTAAAACATGTTGGTCTCTGACCTGAGTACTTTCTTTGGGCCGAGTCCTTGAATGTCACAACTCATGGAGTAGAGCCCATAGAATGTGGCTTTGACGTTCAGGCTCCCAAAGAGGTCTCGAGGGTTTTGCTTGTACACATCAAAGGTGATGCGGGCGATGTCCTGGCTGTGCTTGGGCTTCTCCCGGCCCAGGCCATATGACAGCACCCCGCTCTGTAGGGCACCCCCATGAGTGCAATGGATCCTCACCCACTGACACCCACCGTTAATCCCCACCAGCAGTGGGACAGACCCACCCTTGCCTGGACGGTTAGTCCACTATAAGGTGTCCTTGATAAATCCTTCCCTCTCTCTCATCACCCCTGCCTCCCAGGGATAGGCAGGAGGAGAGGCTTGGGAGAGACGTGAAGGATCGCTGGCCTATCGCAGCCCCAGTACGAGGCGCTCACCCTGCTGGGCCTCCAGCTCTGCCCGAGCTCCAGCACCATCAGGCACGTGTCATCCTCCAGCAGCTGGAAGAAGTCTTCGCTCTCCACTGCGGTGCCATCCTCCTCCAGCACCAGGGTTAGCGCTCCACTCAGCAGCAGGATCTCTAGTGCCTGCCCAGTGGCAAAGCAGGAGGGAAATGGCAGCGCTTGTCCCGTGCGCCTTCTCTCTCCAGCTGCCCGGCATCCATTGGTGGGCCCAAAACACTGATATCCCAACTCTACCTCCTGGTGCTTAGCCATCTCTTCAGATGGCTCCGGGGCTCAGTGTTCTTTCACTGGGGGACCCTCACCAGGAGCTGACCTTTTTTTCCTGTTTGCTCCTGCTTTGTTCCGACCATGTCATTGTTATTTCCCCCTGCTTTCCTCCAAGCCACTCCTGCTTTGGAATTGAAAAGCTGGCAGGGGACCTAGCCAGATGGCTCGGCTGGAGCGCCATCCCATACCCCAAAAGGCCTTGGGTTTGATCCCTGTCGGGTCAGGGCACACTCTTGGGTTGGATGTTTCTCACATTGATATTTCTCCCCTCCCCCTAACCCCGCCCTTAAATCAGTAATCATATCCTCAGGTGAGGATTAAGAAAGAAAGAAAAAGAAAAGCTAGCAGGTTCTCCTGAAGAAAGGGCATGCAGGGGTGCGAGGCATGCTGATGGGGCCTGACACGACGGCATCTCATCCCCAGTGTCACACCTTGTCCTCTCCCACCCTCCCGAGTTCTCCACAGCACTTGGCAGTAACGATGACAATCTTTTGAGGCTACGCTGGTGCCATGTATCTATGTCGCACTTCACATATATTACCCTCTTCTTTCAACCACCTAAGAAGGTGTATTATTATTCCCTTTTTATAGATGAAGAAACTGACCTTTTAATAAGGGTCAATGACTTCCCAAGGTTTGATACTAGGAAGTGGCAGAATCAGGATTTGAACTTAATTAGTTGCACATGCCATACTGACTTCTAAATTCGGTCTCTCCAGCCATCTCTCTACTCCTTCCCTATCCCCAAAGAAAAACCCACTCCTTGGGCTAAAAAAATAGATTGACCCAAATGCAGCAGGGATCATTGCCTCCCACCCCCAAGTCCCCTTTAGCTATCAGAGAGGATGGCGCTGCGCTATCTCAGTCCTTTCTGCTGGTCATTCCAGGTTCTCATTCTTCTCGAGCCCCTAGGCTGCCCCTGAGAGAGGAACCCAGGGGCTTGGCTCACTCACCTTGTCTAGCAGTTCCTGTCGGGTGGCAGCTGTCAGACCTTTCCGGGTGGTCCGCTTGTGATCACAGACACGGAAAGGTCGCTGCGGTGGTGAAGCTGAGGTCCAGACCCTCCGGCCAAACTCAGAGCTCATACTGGATACTGACCTAGTAGTTCGGGAAAAAGGTCAAGAAGGAGTGAGGGGTGTGCTGAGTGTAGTGGGAATGATGGGGGTGGGGTGGCTGGAGAGTTAGGGAGGCAGGGATTTAGATCTTCGGATTAGAGTAGCCTAGGGACAGAGGGAGAGACCCTGGGGTGGAGGTGGATGCTGGTGGCTCAGAAGCTGGACAAGCCCGCTGTGGAACGTTGGTGTTGGGGGAGGGGGGTACAGGTTCATGAGTTTCCTCGGGCTGAATTCTCGGGGGCCCTCCCTCAACTCCATCCTCGGGCTGAATGGAGTTTTGTTGCTCTGCTCCTACCCCCAGAATTGGACAGTGGAGAGGAAGATGAGTAATCACCTGAGTAGGCTGCTGGGATTCAGGGCAGAGAGGTACTCCATGGTGGAGGGAAAGAGAGCCCTAGGCTAGGTCGTTCTCTGCTGTGCTGGGCTGAAGCGGTGATGATTTCTGTTACAGAGCTGGGACGTCAGCCCCAGTGAGTTGGGGGGATGAGTCAAGCCCGGACTCTGGCCCCCTGTCTGGCCTGTCAGGAGGGCAAAGTCCAAGGGGAGGGAGAAGAGGAGGGGCCTAGATGGGGTCCTGGAGGGAAGATAAAGGCCCAGACTTGCCAGGCAAAAGCCAAGGAAGCTTTGTGTGGATGTGTCTCTGGTGGCAGCATGTGATGTGAGATAAATGGGAACTATGTAAGAAGATGGAATGTGATCTCTGGTGTTTTTCTTTATACAGAGGGAATTTCTAGGTACGGAAGCTGCATTATGTGATTTGCGCGGTACATGCTGCCACCTACTGAAAAATCCATAAACTGCAGCTTTAGGAAAAGGGAGGCTGGATTGAGGATGGGATCAGGGGCAGGGCCTGGAGAAATGGGAGGTGAGGCCAGTGTCTGGGTGGGTGTGAGGAAAGGATGGGGCCTGATCCCTGGATCACCAGGATCCTGTCTGGGACTCTGGCCTTCCTGCTTTCCTGCTCTTTCCTTCATGGTCTAGAGGAAGCAGTTGGCTCAACATTTCTTCAGTTTAATTCTGCAGAACTGCCTGCTTCAGCCACACTGGATTATCAGCCACTTTCTCTCTCACCTTCCCCCTGTGGCCACTTAATGGGCATGAAGAACGTGTGAAAGTTGAAGGGGTCCTTTGATGGCATCAGGACGTTAGCTTTTGGTGTCCCAGCTCTGATTTCAGCTGCAGTTGTGATGGACATTTGTGTGGAAGCTCAGAGTCTCACTGGCAATGAACTCCTCACGTGAGTGCCAGTCCCTCTGCTTTCCTGCCCAGTAGCCTTGCCTGAGGCTTTGGCAGTCCAGCCGGCACCCTGACAAACGCAGGCTATAAGTGGGTATGCGTGTCAATGCCTCCTCTTTCTCGAAGGCGTCCTCTGTACTTGGACATTCCTGAGGCCTACAGAAGGAGCTCCGGACCGCTCTCCTTGGCTTTCCTCTTCCCTCTCTTCTCCTCTTCTCACTCCTGCTTCCCAAGCCAATCTCCCAAATGTAGGATTACCTGTACCCATGCCATTAACTCAGATGGTGCTTTGGAGGGAACCCAAATAGAGATGATATTGGTGTCCTGGCTGCCAAGGAACCCCCAGTTTGGCTGTTGACTGACAGAGGTCTTTCCCCTTCCTTCAACTTTATCAGTTTACCAGGTTCCTTCAAATGTCTTCATATCTAATCTTTGCCTGCTCCCTTCACCCAGAGAAGGCTTCTTTTCAGCATGCCTTCCTTTTTTTTTTTTTTTTCCCCTTGTCTTGTATCCTGGTGCAGCCTAGTAATGCGGTCTCTTCATGGTTGGGCGCTGTAACTCCTCGGGCAGGCTATACGCCCCTTACACCTCCATTCATTCCGATTCCCCCACAGATCTTGGCACCACGCTTTACACTGAAAGCTGTCATTGGCAACCCAGTGAGAGACCTGAGGGTGGGATGACTGGGGCAGGGCCCAAGGCAAGAGGTGAGAGGTAGGAAGCTGAGGGAAAAGGAGACTCAGCAGGGTCAGGAGCCAAGAAACGGGCAAAGAAAGAGCAGCAGGGGAAGTGAATAGTTTGGGTCCCCTTCTCTGCTGAGTGAAGACCAGGGGGGCAAGAAAGCATAGGGCTGCAGGGGTGGGAGGTCTGGGACCAGAGCTGGGGGTCAGGATTCAGCAGCGTCTCTACTCCTTCACTTACATGACCGGGGAATCTTATCTGCACCCCTTCAGCTTTTCCTGTTGCCTGAGAGGCAGAACCTCACACGCCTGGACGTGTTAGTGATGGGAAGGAGTAGGGTGAGGGAGGGCCCCCAAGAAAGGCCCCACCTTGTCCCTCCCCATTCTCGCCTCACCCTCTGAGAACCTAGCAGGCACAGGACAGGAGTAGGCACCGAGCCCATGGCTGCTTTGCCTTTCAGCCTCCCCAGGCCCTTCGCGGACCCCTTATTCTGCTAGCTCCCAGCTCGGTAAGTAGATCTGCCCAAGTGCCTTTACTCCCCACCACTCACTTTTGCCCTGAGGTACAAAGAATGGGGCTGGACAAAGAAGGGCAGAGGAGTGGAGGTGGAGGTGCTGGCGGCCTGAGAGTGAGGACTGGGCAGGTGAGCTGACTGAGAGCAGGGGATTTGGGTTCCAAGAAGTGTTTGAGTTGGGGCTGGGATCCCCGGGGAAGTCAAGGCTCCCAGACAGAAGAGAGGTGGGCTGCAGGGAAGTGGGAGAGGGAGGCACAGTTCCTTTTCATCTGGCATCAGGGATCCCGCAGGCTTTGACCCCACCTCCTGAATGCCCTCTATGGCTCTTTCCAGCCCCCTGTAGGTGCAGAAGGATGATGGACTGCTACCGTCCCCCAGGGAACGAGACGCTGCTGAGCTCCCCGGCCTCAAGGGCCACAGGCACCGCCTTCCTGCTTCTGGCAGCACTGCTGGGGCTGCCGGGCAATGGTTTTGTCATTTGGAGCTTGGCGTGCTGGCGGCCTGCAAGGGGGCGGCCGCTGGTGGCCACTCTCGTGCTGCACCTGGCGCTGGCCGACGGCGCGGTCCTGCTGCTCACACCAGTTTTTGTGGCCTTCCTGGTGAGGCAGGCATGGCCGCTGGGCCAGGCAGGCTGCAAGGCCGTGTACTACGTGTGCGCCCTTAGCATGTACGCCAGCGTCTTGCTCACCAGCCTGCTCAGCCTGCAGCGCTGCCTCGCCGTGACCCGCCCTTTCCTTGCGCCCCGGCTGCGTAGCCCGGCCCTGGCCCGCCACCTGCTGCTTGCCGTCTGGCTGACTGCTCTGTTGCTGGCCGTCCCAGCCGCCGTGTACCGCCACCTCTGGGGGGACAGCCTGTGCCAGCTGTGCCACCCGTCGCGGGTCCACACCGCCATCCACCTGAGCCTGGAGACTCTGACCGCTTTCGTACTGCCCTTCGGGCTGGTGCTCAGCTGCTACAGCGTGACACTGGCGCGGCTGCGGGGTGCCCGCTGGGGCTCCGGTCGGCACGGCACGCGGGTGGGCCGGCTGGTGAGCGCCATCGTTCTCGCCTTCGGTTTGTTCTGGGCCCCCTACCACGTGGTCAACGTTGTGCAGGCGGTAGCCGCGCTGGCTCCACCCGAAGGGGCCCTGGCGAAGCTGGGCGGCGCAGGCCAGGCAGCGCGAGCTGGAACTACGGCTTTGGCCTTCTTCAGCTCCAGCATCAACCCAGTGCTCTACCTGTTCACGGCTGGTGATCTGCTGCCCCGCGCAGGTCCCAGCTTTCTCACGCGGCTCTTTGAGGGCTCCGGAGAGGCCCGAGGAGGCGGCCGCTCTAGGGAGGGGACCTTGGAGCTCCGAGCTACCCCTCGGCTCAAAGTGGTGGGGCAGGTTCAGGGCAATGGAGACCCAGGGGGTGGGGTGGCAAAGGAGAGTCAGGAATGGGACCCTTGACACCAAATCCTGTTCTTCCTTGTCCTCTTCAATCACCCCTCAGAACGCAAGAGAACCACTCCTGAGAGTTTGGGAATCTTCTGACTAGTTTGGATCTGTTGGGGCAGAATTATTATACGCCTGGGGCAGGCCCAGTTTCCTGCAAACTGAGGGATTGCATTGGGGTGATGGTTCATGGTAATGAATGTGAGCACTTGCAGGTTGGCATGTGCCCATGTGCCAGCGCTGCTAACTTGTTGCCAGTACCTGTTGTGAAAGACGTTGTACAGCCATTACAGCAGGGCCAACAGTGTGCTGTCCCTGGTGGTTCAGCCTGAGTTGCAAGGAAGCCACCTGGTTCCCCTGCTGGGTCAGGCCAACTCTGGGCAGGGCTATCCTTCAGTGACATCTTGACCTGTCCTCTCCAGACCTGGTGGCCTGGTTCCCTCAGGCCAACCCATACAACCACTCTGTCAATAAAGGGAGAAAGAGGAAGGAAAGGTGTGGGTGCTTGGATGTGGGGTGGGGATGGGATCCATTCTCTGGGGTCTGTAAGAGCCAAGTGGGAGGAAGCAGGCTCTGGAAGGGGAAAGTCTATCTATGGAGTTTGAAAGGAAAGTTTCTCTGCCTGTCTTGTAGTTGGCACTACAAGTCTGAGAGGCCCTGGGAGTCTGAGGCTTATCTTCCTCTCTGAATCCAACTCTCCCTAGAAGGTCCCCTGACTCAAAAAGGAGCCCAAGGGCAGGGACTCAGTCACCCAGAGGATGTTCGGGGCGTAGAGATGAGGTAGTGTGAGGGGTGGTGTGGATATTTGGAGGACAGGAAGAGATTCTCAGGGAGGCGCCACCTCTCCTTTCTCCTTTCTCTCTCTGCCAAGTCTTGACTCCTCCCGACACTGCTAGCTGTTCCTTACAGGCGCTCCCCCACACTTCCCAGCCCCCACCTTTTGGAACCTCTTTACATACAGGCCTCAAAACTGTTCTGGATCCTGACAGTTTTGAGTCTGGGGAGGCAAGATGGGATTCTTTGTAGGGGGCATCCACTTGTATACACATGTGGTCACTAGGGTGACCACCTCACCCTGGTTTGCCCAAGACTTCCCCTGTCTTAGCAGTGGAGGTCTCTTATCCCAGTCCACTCGGTCCCTGGCAGACTTAGATGGCTGATTATCTGAGTTCTGGTCAATCTGACCATTACCCCAGTTCTGCTTTAGTAACTGTTCACACCACCCAGACAGAGGCCAAGAGAGAGCAAGGGAAACCCAGCCCTCAGGGTCAGGGTCATACCAGGGCCACCAAAAATGGGTTGCAGGTAGAGCTCTGGACTTGGGGGTGAGGATGCTTAGAGTGTCTAGCCTGGGGTGGAGGACGGGAGGTCACTGACAGATGCATGTGGGGAGCAGCTTGGGTGAGGAAGCAAAGACAGTCTACTTTGTGTCAGAAGGAACCTCTGACTGACCCCAGAGCTTTGAGTCAGACGCTCCTATACTGTTGCATCGACTGCTGAAGCTCCTTCCTGTCTTCATGCACTGTGGGAGAGGATCGCTAACTTCCTGTTACATATTCCATGTCCCACACACCATCTGTGGTCAGAAAGCCCTTTCTCAACCCTGGCTGCTCGCTGTAGTTTCAGACCATTTCTTTTCATCATATCTCCTACCTAGCAGCTGTTGGGTGATCTCTGCTTTGGCTTTTCTCAAAGCAGAGAAAGTGGGAGGCACCATTACACTCTGCAAACTTCCTGAGAGTGACAGAGTTGGAAGGGAAGCAGGAAGTCAGACTGAAGGAAAGACTTTCCAGTTCTTAGCTTCTGCAGGAGAGTTCAAGAAAAGGAGGAAAGGGAAGAGTGGCCCTTTGCGGGGGGAGCGGGGGCTGTTTCCCTTTCCACAGCTCTGGTTTCCCCTCTTGGCAGAGCAGGTATGAAGAAGCATCACCGCCCCCCACTCCCTCATTCCTATTCCCTATGTTCAGCCTTTATTTCCTTTGTGTGTTGAAGGTGGGACTGGAGAGGAGGCTGTGGGAAGGTAGGAAAAATGTGGTCCTGACCTTGCCCAGTGCCCGGATCTTAAATCCAAACTCGTGTGTCAGTGGAGCCACATGGGCAAGCACAAGGCAAATGGTTGGGGGAAGGGGAAGAAGCTGACATTCTGTGTGATAGTTAAGGAGACCCTTTGGACTTTGGCTTTTATCAAGACAAAGGAACACTGATTAACCTAGAATGGCACCAATCATTTTAAATGAGGGGAGGGCCAGGGTGCTGGGAGAGGGACTTCTTCCCCCAACTACACTCATACTTGAACCCAAGCCAGGGACAAGTTGCTGACCTCGTTAAGTCATGATTTCATAACCCAAACCTCGAACCTAACCACAGCTCTAACCTATACTTACTATTAATCTAAAAATCTCCTTGTTTACACAAAATATATTCAACATTCTGCCTTCTCAATCTGAGCCCATTTCCCCTCTCTGGCTTCCCTCTCTCCTCCTCCTATATGACACAATTTATTACTCTGTTCAATTATCCAGTCTAGACCTGCATATAAGGCCACACCCCAGCCTGCTCACTCCTGCACCCCTTTTTTCTCTCCCGCTGCCCCTTCTAGGGCTCTTCTCATCTGGTCCCACCCCTGAGGGTCCTCCCTGCTGGCCCCTTTGGAACACAAAGAACATCCCTCCTTCTAGTGAAGGGAGGGGTAGAAGTTTAAGCCCCACCCTCAAGATGTATCCTCCCCCTCCCCTGCTCGTGGTACTTCCTCTCTGGCTGACTTAGCTGACAGCATCCAGACCTGGAGCCAGACCGTTGGCACTGAGACAGATCTGGGGATAGGCTACACCACTCTGCCCTGACCCTGGGATTGGCACTAGCTTCCACCCAGTACCCAGCAAAACCTGTAAGTAAGGATCCTGGGAGTAGAAGAGGCGGTGGAGGGGTGGGGTGCAGCCATGAGAGAAGGTACAGAGGAACTTCTAAAGAGAGCCTGACCCGTGGTAAAAGGGCTTGGGAGGGTGTGTACTTCTCTTCTTTTCACGAACTCCTTCCCATCCCTGTTATTCCTGGTGGACCTTGGGTATCTCTGGGGAGAGTGGGTAGGGAATTGGGAGACATCAGTGGGACTGAGGGGGCTAAGACCCTGGAAAGGGACAGAGGAGTTAGCCTTTTGAGAGGTGCAGCATTGGTAAGGAAGTCCCCCTCCCCCAGTTTGGCTTTGGGTTTGAGGGTCTCCTAAGGAAAAGAGGCTGAAAGGGTCTGGAAATGCTACTGCTGCTGCTACTGTGTATTTTGCAATTGGGTCTATGCGCAGGAAGGGGCCCTGTGGTGTGGCCCAGTTAGGAAATTAGTCCTTCTTCTCAGCCAGATCCCCTAAAACAGGTCAGTTGGCAGTGATGAGAGCAGTATATGGCAAGGGTGCATCTGATGTTGCTGATTTGGAGAAAGACTAGAGGATTCAGGCTATGTGTGTCCAGGGCGCTAGGAAACTCTTGGACCCCTACCCTCATGCGCATGTCCACCTTAACCTCCAGATCTTTGCAATGGCCATGAACACTACATCTCCTGCACCACCTTCCTCACAAGCTGTCACATTCATCTCTCTGCTGGCTATCATCCTGCTCTCAGTGGCTCTGGCTGTGGGGCTCCCTGGCAACAGTTTTGTGATGTGGAGCATCCTGGTAAGGATGCGAAAGCGCTCTGTTACTGCCCTGCTGGTGCTGAACTTGGCCCTGGCTGACTTGGCCGTGTTGCTCACTGCCCCCTTTTTCCTCCACTCCCTGGCCCGAGGCACCTGGATTTTTGGAGTGGCTGGCTGCCGCCTGTTCCACTATGTTTGCGGAGTCAGCATGTATGCCAGTGTTCTGCTTATCACAGCCATGAGCCTGGACCGCTCACTGGCAGTGGCCCTACCCTTTGTGTCCCAGAAGATGCGCACCAAGGCGTGTGCCTGGCGGTTGTTGGCAGTCATCTGGGTGGTGGCGTTATTGCTGGCCACACCCGTCATCGTGTACCGCACCTTGGTAGAGAAAAACAGGCGCCTGATCTGCTTCCCGGTATACTCCAGCAAAAATCACATGGCCTTCCATCTGCTCTTCGAGGCCTTCACCGGCTTCCTGCTGCCGTTCCTGGCCGTGGTGGCCAGCTACTTAGACATCGGGCGCAGGCTGCGGGCCCGGCGCTTCCGCCGCAGCCGCCGCACAGGCCGCCTGGTGGCGCTCATCATCCTGGCCTTCGCTGCTTTCTGGCTACCCTACCACCTAGTGAACCTGGCCGAGGCCGGGCGCGCGCTGGCCGGCAGGAAGGCAAGAGAGGGGCCCGTGGGGGAGCAGCTGCACCTGGCCCGCTCTGTGCTCATCGCACTGGCCTTCCTGAGCAGCAGCGTGAACCCCCTGCTGTATGCGTGCGCAGGAGGTGGCCTGCTTCGTTCAGCCGGCCTGGGCTTCGTTGCCAAGCTGTTGGAAGCCACTGGCTCAGAGGCGTCCAGCACCCGACGTGGGGTCACCCTGGGCCAGACCGTGAGGGACGCCCCACCCCCGCCTCCTGAGTCTAGCCCAGCCGAGAGCCTCACTGTCTCCAGCGAACCTCTCCAGTGACGGGAACTCAACCAGGCCTGGAGAGCGGTGGTGGAAGGACACTTGATTTCCTCCTGGCGAATGCCCCGACGCTGGCCTGACCCAATTCTGCACACCGTGTGGAGGAGGAGAGGAAGAAGAGGGAGGGGAGAGACAAGTAAGGGCGGAGTGAGATCCTGGCTCCCCTGGGCAGCTTTGCAATTAAAACCGAAGTCTGAAATTGAGTTAACCCTCTGTGCGTGTGCGGCATGTGTATTATGGGGAATTGGGGTGCTCCTGGGTGTGTTAATGGAGGTCTGTCTCCATAGCTGAGATGCACGTCTTCTAGTTTCCCATGGTTTTCAATTTTTGAAGGGACACAAAGACAGACGTAGAAATCAACTCCCCCTCCGCCATTCTGAGGCAGGTAGCCTGCAGGTAATACTTAGAACACACGTTTGCAGGTTCCTGAAGGACATGACCAAGGAAGACCACCCATGTGGGCTCATCACTCCAGACGCCTTGACTCAGCTGACTTTCTGAGAAAATTTAGCACTGCTCTGGGACCTCTACCCCGAAGCCAGCGATAGCGATCATTGTTGGCATGACTCCAACTTCCTGCCACTAACCTTCATCCTCTCAGGGGCAGGTTTCTAAGGGACTGGCCTTCTTCCCTCCATCTCCCAAAGAGGCCTCACTTGAGAACCAAGTCAGCAGATCTTGTCCCCTAGAATTCTCATCAGCATTTAGCCAGCCCCCCAAACGCACTCTGGCACCGGGTGGAGCTGAGGGTACTCTGTGACTATGGTCGTGCTTAGGAAATGAAGATTCCCCAAAGTGCAGAGGGATGAGTCATTCTTTCCTCTGGATGGCTGTTGTCTTGGAGAGCCTCTGTTCTGACAATATTTTAGGAAGATGGTAATGTAACAGGGTACAGCCAGGACCCCAAAGGGTATCTGTAACAGGGTCCAGAAATTGGGGTGTCCAAGAAAAATATGAGATATTCTCCTCACCCCAAGGCGGCCACCATGGGGGATGGGAGACCTGGAGCAGGGCCACTGAGTTATTTTGCATGTCAATACACAATAGCTTCAGATCGCATTTGCAAAAGGTTATTTTACATCTCAATAAGGCTAACCAGGAAGGTCTGAAAAATTTATAATACAGAATGTAACTTGGGAGAGGGAGGAGGAGAGACAGGGCCTGTGGGAGGGAAGAAGGGATACAACCTCTGGGGAACAGAATGAAGACCATGAGGGAAGAAAAGAGGAGAGAAAGGACTCTTGCTAGTGGGCCGTGAGAAGGCGCCACATAGTTATGGATTAAGAGCTGGAGATCGCGGCAACGCAGCAGATGGTGCTGAGAACCGCCAGAGGCCTGCCTAGCCAAGCCCCGGACTTCTGTTCTTTTTCGTCTGAAGGACGGTACCCCTGACTCGCTTGACTGGCCTGACTGGGCAAAGGGGGAAGGCAGGACTGTATGTTGGTGGGTGTTTTAAAAGGTGGGTGCTTTAAAGGGGTTTAGAGATTTAAGAGCGACATTTAGCCATTAATCAAACCTGTATAACTTTTGAATAAATAGTTTCTTTCCTTTTCACCAAACTCTGCCATTGAGAGCCATAATTCTAAGGATAGGGGGCAAAGGACCTACAACCAAGGAACCGCAGGGGAAGGGGGGCATTGTTTCGGTGACAGCATCTGGACACCACCCCCACCACAGGTCCATTGTTGGGTAACAGCAGCAGCAGCAGTAGTGGTGTACTTTTTTGAATATTTCCCATAAGAAAAGAAAGAAAAGAGCAACCAAAAAGCCATGCTTTTGTTTTGCAACAATGCTAGGGTGTCAAGATATCCCTCATGGACCCCAAAATATGAGCAGGGGAATGAACCATGAATGCTTCAAGACCGACATAATATTAGCATCTGAACAGAAGGATGCAGAAGGAAGCAAGGGGACATATGAGGGGCCTGCGAACAGGAGAACCTCAAAACTGTCTACAGGTCCTCATTGGAAAGCATGGTAGGTCATTTTAGAAGAGCAGCTGACATGGGGAGGGATCTAATAGATTATTTCCAAGGCCTCTTATCCATGCTGCATAGTAAGCACATAATAAGAGCTTATTTAGTGTTTGCCAAATGAATAAAGGTCAAATGACATTCTTCCTGGAGATTCCTTCCAATATTTGTGGATGGCGAGCAGGAAAGGACAAATCCTTGTTTTGAGTCATGCAGCTAAAATTCTTCGTACTTCCCAGGTTTATAAACTACTGAAATCAGGCTGGCAGGCAGGCAGGGGGGCTGAGGCAGTTTTCTTCCTGAGCTTATGAAAAAGAATCATTCCCTCCCATGCTCTCAGGCTCGTGCTTGTGAGCGCGCACACACACACTCACACTCACACTCACACTCACACTCAGTTTGACCTGGGAAAAAGCAGTCCTGCTGAGAGGCGTGCAGGTGATACCAGCAGCTTCTCATCAATTTACTCCAGACATACCAGTCTCTTTATTGAGGATCTTCGAGATGAAGAGTAGGAAGTGGGATCTCAGCCTATGGTGGCTGAGGGAGGTCCAGCTCGTGTCAAATCTGTGTTCAGGAAGTAGGTGCACAGCTGCCCTTTGCCTTTGACCTTGATAACACCCCTGCTGTAGCAGGCGTAGCCTAAGGCCTGCAGAGCCCGGGCTGTTTCCTCTGTCACCTGCAATTGGAGGAGGGTGACGAGTATGGGGATGGCCCCAACCTTATCTACTGCCCCCATGCCTCCAATGCGGCTCCCTCACCTGGATCTTGCCCAGGACTCCTGTACTCTCCATGCGGCTGGCCACGTTCACTGTGTTGCCCCAAATGTCATATTGTGGTTTCTGGGCCCCTATCACTCCGGCCACTACAGGTCCATGGTTCAATCCTGACAAGATATGGAAAAGATGGGGGGAGATTTAAGGAGAAGAAAAAGCTCAAGGAACTAGGAAGAAGGGCCTGGGGAACTCAGAGGAGAAGAGTGTGGGGCTGGAGGAGTGTGGGGAGGGGAGAGGGTGCACCTCATAGCTCTCAGCCTAGCAGCTTCATGCTCCATCTTGAGGGGTGAGTCTGGAGGGAGGTCCAGGGTGGAGCTGCTGGGAGCAGCTAACAGAGGACATGGTGGGGAGAGCTTGGGAAGAGGAGGAGGACGTCCCAGACTGTCCCAGCCAGGAAAGGCTCTTACCCACACGCAAGCGGAAGTTGTTGAACGAGTGCTTGTTGATAACGTCCAGTTTAGACCCAAGGGCCACTGCAAATTCCACCATAGTGCCAAGGTGGCTGCAGCTTCGCTCAGCATCCTGGCAATGGGCCAGCCACCAGAATGGGTCAGTGAGGGCACAGGAATAAGGCCCATTTACCGACCCACCAATGAAAGTCCGGGTGAGGGTTGGTAGGTAAGGAAGGGATGCTGTACCTGCTGTGCATCCTGTCCGGAGGTGGCATTTAAGCCCGTAGCTGCCATGTAGGTGCTGCCGATGGTTTTGATCTTCTCCACCCCACTGAACTTGGGCTTAGAGAGCAGCTGTATAGAGATGAGGCTGTGTCCCCAGTCTTCCTTGTTCTCTCCCTCCTCTCTCCCCAAAGCCCAGCCCCAGGCCTTTGGAGGCTAAAGGGCTAGTTGTGGGGTCAGGGATGGTGGCAGGAGGGAGAGTTGGTAGTGAACAGAACTGCTGAAGAAGGCAGAGCTGGGGCATCAGAGGAGGGGTGGGGAGGCTCAAGGAGGCAGACTGGGCTTCACGGCCAGAAGAGCAAAGTAGTTAGGAGGAGGGACTGGTGGGGAATTCTAGGGTCCCGGACATAGGATGTGAGGAACGCTTGGAGTTGTCACCTCATCAAAATCAGCAATGATCTCATTGAGCAGCCGCAGACACTCTAGGCCCTCATGGTTGATGTTGGATTCGGAGTAAAACTCCTTGAAGTCTGGGACTGAGGCGAAGAGGACACAGACACATTCGTAGGACTGGTGGTAGAGGTCCTGGAGGGTGAGAGGCTCCAATGAGGCTGGCCACGTTCTTCCCCTCCTGTCATTGTGTCCCCATACCTCCACCTCCGCTTAAGAAAGATTAGCATGGAGTGGGTGGGGGAGGGCTAGTTTACCCTAGGGAAGTGACTCAGGAGTCAAAGATTGGGTTTCATTGTGATTCCAGGAAAGATACAGGTTTGGGGTAAAGATCACCTCGTAGCAATGTGAAGGAAATCACTTCTTGAAAGGGGACTCACACAACTGGAATTATCTTTATATCCTATCTATTGCTGAAATGTGTTAAGTAAGTTAAATCAGCTTATAAAGATCTACAATTTGCAAGATAAAATAAAGCAATAATAGGGAAAATGGGGCAAAGGGAAAATAAGGGTAAGATGTTAAAAATGGAATCAGATCTGAGGCTGATTCACTTAATGGGTTAGGGAACCCATGTTAGTCCTAGATTCTGTGTCTGAGCTTCCGAGTAGCCAATGTGAAGACAGAAACAAGATCCCTTACAAGATTCCCAGCGTCTATAAGAGAAAAAACCAGAAGTAGAGCTACTTCTGGTCTTGAGAGCAGACAGCAGCCGGTGGGGACATAAGGTTGTAAAATAACCTCTGGACTATTTCTCTTGACACCCCTCAATACAGGACAAGAGTATTTCCATAGCAGAGGATGAAGGGGTGGTGGTGGTACGAATAAGAAGCTACAAATATGAGGGTGGCCTTCTGAACTTCTGATGGTCTGACTATAACAACATTATTTGAGGATCTAGAGCAGTGTCATCTAACAGAAGTTTCTGTGATGATGGGAATGTTCTGTAGACGTGTTCTCCAATATGGTGGCGACTAGCCACATGCAGCTGTTGAGCACATGAAATGTGGCCATTGTGGTTGTGGAATTGAATTTTTCCCTCCCTTCCCTTCCTTCCTTCCTTTTCCTCTTCCTCCTCCTCCTCCTCCTCCTTCTTCTTTTTAAGCTACAGGTTTACTTACGAAACTTGAAAATTACACAGCACACCTAAGGCAACACAGCAAGGTCACGAATTGAGAGTGGGGGCC